GTGGGTGTGGGTGGGTGTGTAAATAATGATGGAGACAGAGGAAAAATGCTTGTAACTTCATTTTCCAGGTCAATAAAAGAAGAGGAGGGTGTAAATAGATTAATATAGTTTCTGAAAGAAAATACAAAATGTCATTAGTAGACCTTGTGAGCCTAATCAGAGAAAATTTATTAGGGAGGAAATATTAAAATATCAGTCATATCTTTTCCTCTCCACATGGTTGAAGATGGTGCTGAGTGATGCTAGAGAAAATCCTTAGTGATACCACTTTGGAATCACACATGACCATGGAATAATTTGAGACATAGAGAAAACACAGTGAGAAGAAAGCTAAGAAAGGGAAGTTAAAATCTACTAAGACTGAAAATTCAGTACAAGAGAAAGAAGTCACTATTTTTCTCAAAGTTCAAAAGACAAAAAAAAGAAAGTAGAGCCTTCTGAAGATAAAACAAATTATCCAAAATCTAAAAAGGTTTAAAAAAGAGGAATGATCTCAAAATGCCAACATTTCTCCTAAAATTAAAAGTGCAAAAAATAGAAAGTATCATTTGAAGATCAAATTACTTCTTTTTAAATTTTTTATAACTTAAAAAAAAACAAAACAAAACACAAAAGCTGAGACTTCTGAAGAAGAAATGCGTGCATCTAAACCTAAGAAAATAATGAAAGAAAAGGCAATGAATGGAGAGATTGGGGGGGGGAACAACCCAACCCAAACTGAAGAATAGACTCCCTCATTCTGAACCTGTCCATAAAACGTATGAATCCACATGTGAAGACAGTAACAGCAAACTGTAACAGGAAATACCAGGGGAACAAGAAGAAGGAGCTTACTCGATTTGCCTGTCTCTGAAGTGACTGTTGAACTTCTGAAAACCTGAGGAGTGAACTTTCTGTTTCCTATACAAGTGAAGATGGTTCATCATGTCTGTGGTGGGAAAGACTTAATTGCAGAGACACAGGCTGGAATTTGGAAAACATTCTCCTTTGCCATCCCCTTGACTGAGAGACTTCAGGGAGATCTGCAGGAGAGAAAGTGAGGCTGCTCTTGCTTCTTCAAGAGACTCAGCAAATCAAGAAAGCTAAAACTTCAGTTATATCACAAAAATGCCCCTGTCAGTGGCTTGTTTTTATGATGAAACACCATATGGAGGCCTTCCAGATCACATGAAAAATGAGATTGACATTCTGGCTGGGGCATCGTATGTACCCAAGACCACCTACAGAATGGCAAGCTAGACTCACCAAACTTGAGCATGGATTTCCTGGATAAAGTTAACCAGATGATGGATATGGGTTTTGCTGATCAAGTGAAAGAAATTTTATCTGTGGCAAAGAAGAAAGTTGACACAATCCCTGATCATTGCTTGTTTCTACAACTTACCTTTAAATACATTGAGTATTCAATGTTGCTAAGAAATTCATGAAACCTTCTTATGAGCAGGTGGACCTGATAGGTAAAAAGATTCAGAAAACAGAAATAACTGTGGAGCATCTGGTTATCAAGTGCCATTGGATGCACAAGGCAGAGGTCATTGGAGATGTTATCCGGGTGTATGGTGGTTATCATGGGCTCACGATTATCTTCTGTGAAACCAAGAATGAAGCCTAGGAGCTGTCCCAGGAAACATCCAACAAACAGAGTTTCCTGTCATCAAATGGAGACTTTCCACAGAAGCAAAGGGAAATCACCCTGAAGGGTTTTTTAAATGGTGATCTTGGCATTTTGGTTGCAATCAATGTTGCTGCCACTGAATTAGATATGCCTGAAGTTGATCTGGTTGGACAAAGCTCTCTACCAAAGGATGTGAAGTCCTACATTCATTGTTCTGAGTGAACAGGTAGAGCTGGACGGACAGGAGTTTATATCTGTTTTTATCAGGACAAGGAAGAATATTTGTTGGCACATATGAAGCAAAAAGGGGGAGAGTTAAATTTAAATTAATAAGTTTATCTTCTACAACAGGACTAACAAAAGCTTCCAACAAATGTGTTATCAAATATTTGGATTCTCTGCCTCCAAAGCCATGTGTCACTTCAATCCATGAGCTGAGAAAGTCATCAGTGAGAAGGATCTGTGGAAGCCCTGGTGGAAGCAGTAACCCACATCTCAATAGCCACAGCGGTTGACCAGTGCTACTTGGTCAGCATGGACATGGGCTTTGGAGTCATGAATTTAGAATGCTTACTTGAAATTTTAAATATCTGCTGTGTTTGGAAAGAGTTTAAAGAGCAGCTGGGCAAAGATACTGATTCCAAAATGGAGCGGATGGTCTTCCTCAAAGGAAAGTTGGATGTCCCTGCTGAAGTAATAACAGAAATATGGAAGGGGGGGGGGATGACATGACTCTTGGCACTGGCATCTCTCTATGGTAACTGAGCATCCAAAGCTGGAGGGACATGGAGAAGAATTTAAACTCTTCAGGGGGAAAGGGAAGGTGGTCAAGAATTCCAGGGCCTGTGGGATGGAAGCAGAAGCTTCAGAGGATGACAGGAATGAAGCAGAGGAGGAGGCATCAAGGGTCAACAACCTGGAGGGGGCCACAGAAATAACCACTTCCAAAACAGAGACCAAAAGCGGAGTTTTGGCAAAACATTCATTTAGCAAAGAAGGGATTGGCATCATGGAATGTAACTATGTTTTTCATGCAGTTGAAAGCTTATTTACCAAGTTCTCGTCTCCCTCAGGGAGACCATGTTTCAAGCACATGTTTTCATCAGATTATTATCATTTGTAACTTGTTACTACTTCACTATCAGTTTATCCTTTTAGAAAGTTGTAAGGATTCTAAGTATTTTAATGAATTATCTGTAGATTACAGGACAAAGTCAATGATGTTTCTGTCTATATATATTAAAAAAGACACAAAAAACACCCATGCAAATATGAGTGAGTTCATGAATTTGAACGTTTTGAGTGCAGGTTGGTGTTCAAATTTAGGTATGTCTTGGACCTTAAGCAGAAGTGAAATTATTTCCTGGTGGGTGATGAAGTGTATTCCATCCTTGCCACCACCTACAGGAGCTACACTATCTTTCCTTATCAAAGCTCGATGCATAAGTCAAAACTTACATGACTTCAAGGAGTTTTCAGTAAGAACAGACCTCAGCAGTTCAGTGAGAGAAGTCCTGCCAGTCAAACATCACAACTATACCATCTCTTAAGGCTGACAACTCAATTCATATCTTGTTTGTTTAATTCATTTTCATGAATTTTGGATTTACAATAATTTTGGATTTCCATTCATTCATTGTTGTGTTTTTCTTCCTGCCCACCCCTCCCCCCCAGGTTCGCTCCTCTCTCTGTAAAGTAAAAGAAAAATTCCTTCATTGGTATACAATTCCCCACCCACCCACCACCACCACCACAAGTCCAGTACACTCCATCATGTAACCCTCATTCTGGACTCCCGTCATAACCATAATACCCAATCATATATCGCTTACCATAGGAATGTTTATCTGTGCTTCATTGATTATACAAAGGCCCTTGACTGTGTGGATCATAACAAACTGTGGCTGACTCTGAGAAGAATGGGAATCCCATAACACTTGATCATGCTAAAGTAATACTTATACTTGAAGCAAGAGGCAGTTGTCAGAACAGAGCAAGGAAACATTGCATGGTTCAAAACGGGGAAGGGCGTACACCAGGAATGTGTCCTGTCTCTATACCTTTTAAACCTGTATGCAGTACAGATCATCCAGGAGGCTGGACTGTACGAGGAGGAATGTGGCATCAGGATTGGTGGAGGATCTATCAACAATCTGGGTTTTGCAGATGACACAACCCTGCTTGCTGAAACTGAGGAGGACCTGAAGTACTTGCTGCTGAGGGTCAGGATTGAGGCTCAACATCAAGAAGACAAAGATTCCCACCAATGGACCAACTGGCAGCATCAGGATGGATGATGAAGATATTGTGATTGTTCACAGCTTTAGTTTGCTTGGCTCCACAATCAACACTCTTGGTACCAGCAGCCAGGAAATTAAAGACATATTGCCATGGGAAAGTCTGCTGTTAGCGATCTCTCTAAAGTACTCAAGAGCAACGGTGTGTCTCTGGAGACAAAGGTGCGTCTGGTACAGGCCATGGTCTTTGGAATCATTTGCGATGCATCAGAGAGCTGGACAATGACCAAGAAGGATAGAAGGAGAATTGATGCTTTAGAGCTTGGTGTTGGAAAAAAGTGCTGAAGGTGCCATGACCGCTAAGAGAACAAACAGATTCATCCTGGAGAGGGTTAAACCGGGCTGCTCCTTGGAGGCAAGGATTCTGAGACTTTGTCTGACATACTTTGGTCATGTTGTAAGAAGAGACCTGTCCTTTGAGAGGAACATCATACTTGGGAGGGTGGAGGGCAGGCGCAGGAAGGGAAGACCCTCTGGGAGATGGATTGATTCAGTTACTGGGGCAATCGGGATGAGTGTGTCAGAGGCAATGAGATTGGCACAGGACAGAGCCCTTTAGAGCTGTTGTACATAGGGTCTCTACAAGTCGCAAGCGACTAGATGGCACATAACAACAACAACAACAACATATTGATTTTAAGCTGTTCTCTCCCACATCTGTTATGTTTTACAACTGGGAATAAAAATAAATGAGAAGGCCTTATTGCAAATGATCCCAAAACACACATAAATTTTCCTCCTGAGAAATTTGGGTATTTGATTTTAAGTCCTCTCTGGTGGCCTCATGGAATTTCACTGCCCACCCAAAGATGTGCTGTTTGAATCCACCAGCCACTTAACAGGAGTAAGAATGGCAATCTTCTCTCAAACAATTTACTGTCTCTGAAAACCTGCTGGAGAGGCCACTATGGATAAATGCCAAATTGATGGTACACAACAACAATAACAACAACATCTATCTGAGCTTAATACAGATTTCTATGATTGCTTTTTTTCAACTACTCAACCCCAACGTAAGGCAACGTGCTGTCTCCTCTGCCAACACAGCTGCATCCTCAGAGTTTTTGTCAAACTTGGGGGTGTGGTTTTCACACTGTGTATCTTGCACAGTAATAGGTGGCCGTGTCATCAGGGCTCAGATTTCTCAGCTCCATGTAGCCTGTGCTTGAGGATGTGTCTTTGGTCATGGTGACTCTGCCCTGGAACTTTTGTGCGTAGCCTGTTCCATGACTATTAGTATTCATGTATCCTATCCACTCTAATCTTCCTCCTGGGGTTTGTAGCACCCATTGCAAAGCATAGTCTGTGAAGGTGTATCCAGAAGCCTTGCAGGAGATTTTCACTGATGTCCCAGGCTTGGACATCTCAGGTCCAGACTGCACAAATTGTACCTGGAGTGGACACCTATTGATAAACAAAAGGGTTTAATGAAATTCCTTCTGAATATTCACAATCTTGTCCTCCTCCCAGGGACTAGGGACCCCCTGACCTGTAGCTGCTGTGATGAAGAAGATGATTCTCCAGCTCCAGTCCATGGTGAGACAGCTGTGTTCTCAAAGCTTGTGTGTGTATGGGGTGGGGTGAGGGTGCTGGTCGTGGGGTGATGTTCTTGGGATGCAGACATATCTATATTTAACTTTGAAGACCTTTATTTATTTGCATATTCTTAATAGAATATGCCAAAATTTAAATTGAGAGCAGTATGTTTACTATAAAATTATTTCAATGACATCACACAGTAATGCTAAGAATGCAAGCCACAGCTGATTAATTCCATCAGTTCTATTTGAGGTCATGGGTTGCTGACAAGTTCCTGAAATACTGTGTGTGGAAATCCCTTCTCACTGAGGAACATAGAAAGTGGTTGGGAAAAGAGAAAACAGAAAACAGAATAACCATGTTCTTTCTCCCATATCATTTTCTGTCTAGATGTAAGGAGTAAGCAATGCTTAGCGTTTAAATATTCTGATTTGTTATTGGATAGAATAACATCCCAGTTGGTCTGTTAGAATGAATTATCATTGTTGTGGTTAGGTGCCAATGAGTTCAGTCCAGCCCATAGTAAGTAGTATGGACAACAGATCTGAGCCATGTAATGTCCTGTGTCATTCTCACATTTTCTGACACATTAGAGACCATTGTGACAGTTATCATGTCAATCCACCTGACCAAGTGTCTTCCTTTCCTTAAACAACCCTCTACATTTCCAAACATTGTGTTCCTCTCTAAGGATCAGCCTTTCTTAGCAACACACCCAAAGTATGTGAGACAAGTTCTTATCATCTTTGCCTTCAAAGAGCACTCTGGCTGTACCCTCTCCAAGACATATTTGCTTGTTCTTTTGGCCATCCATAGATGTTCAGCACTCTTCTTCAACATCACAACTCAAAATCTTCAATTTTTCTCCTGTCATCCTTATTCATTGTCCAGCTTTCAGATGCATAACAAGTAATCAAAAGATTAGAACCTGAATCAGGCACATGTTCATCTTCACATTGAGATCGTTATTCCTCAATAATATGGAGAGGTCACTAATTGCAGACCTTCCCAGTGCACTACATCTCCTGGTTTCCTGACTGCTAGTACAAAGGAAATCAAAAGACAAATTGCATTGGTAATATAGACTCCTATGATAACAAACAGTTCCATTTTGGAGATGATAAAAACAGCTTGCTTCTTGAAGGCAAGATGTTTGAAACTTCATCTGACATACTTTGGACATGTTGCAAGAAGTGACCAGTTTTTAGAGAGGGATATCACGCTTTGAAGGTTCCAGAGACAATGCAAGAGAGGAAGATCCTGGATGAGATGAATCGACTCAGTGACTGGGTGTGTGGTGGTAGGTGTGTCAGAGACAGTCAAATTGGCTGAAGATAGAGCAGGGTTCAGAGTTGTTGTACATAGGGTCAGAGCCAACTCAAAGGCACAAAACAAAAACAAAAATTGAACCAAGGCTGTTAATTATAAATTCAAATAAGATGAGATTGTTGACAGTTTCAATCTTTTCTCCACCAATCTTGATGTTTTATATCAATCCAGTGGTAAGAATCTTTGTTTTCTTGACATTGAGATGCAATTCATATTGAAAGCTGTTTTCTTTTATTTTCCTCAAAGAGTGCTTAAAGTCCTCCTCACTTCCAACAAGAAAGGTGTACCATCTGCATAGTGCTGGTTATTAATGAGTCTACCTCTGATCCTGATTCCATTTTCCTCTTCATAGAGTTGAGCTTCAAGGATAATTTGCTTAGAATACAAGGTGGATAGGTATTGAGAAAGACTACAACACTGACACACTCTCTTCTTTTTTTTTAAATTTTATTTTATTAATTTTAATGAACATTTACAGGGATTTTGGATTTCCATTCATTCACTGTTGCCTTTTTCTCCCTGCTTGCCCCTCCTCCCTAGTTCACTCTTTTTTTGAACAGTAAAACAAGAATTCATTTATTGATATACAATCCCCCTCTTATGAGTACACTCCACTATGCTTTCTTCATTCAGACTCTTGCCATGACCATAATACCCAGTCATATATTGCTTTTAAACTGTTCTTTCCCTCATCTGTTTCAAAGCAATTTACCCAATTTTTCTCAGTCTCACCCCAACCCTGATATCAGTCCCGTTATACAACAGTGGCACTTGTTTTTGTCCTTTTGTGACAGTGTTTGTCCTTTTGTGACAAAGATATTTCACTCAGCATAATGTTCTCCAATGTCACCCATTTTGAGTAATATTGCATGAGTTCCTTGTTTTTCAGTGTAGCATAGTATTCCATTGTTTGAACATACCACCGATTCTCTATCCATTCATTTGTTGATGGGCACTTAGGTTGTTTCCAACTCTTTGCTATTGTGAACAAAGCCACAATAAACATGGGTGTGCATATATCTGTCTGGGTGACAGTTATGGTTTCTTTAGGGTATATTACCAGTAGAGAAATTGCTGGGTCAAATGGTATTTCTATTTGAAACATTTTGCAAAACAGAGTCCCCTCTTAATTTTAAAACATGCTCTCTTGCCTTGCTCTGTTCTGATAATAGTCTCTGGTGAAGATACAGGTTTCTCATATTAAGTGCTCTGGGATTTCTTTCAATGTTAATCATAACTGGAAGTAGGTCATTTTTGCTTTGATTTGCTTCTTTTTTTAAATTTATTTTATATTTATTTGCTTACATGGTTTGTATACACTGTCTTTCACACCATTCTTCATTCACAGTGTATTTCATTCAATCGTTCTCATCCATTATGTTTTATAAAATGAATCACCATTGAGCCATGCCCACCATTACTCTGTCTTTTCAGGTCTTCATTGCATCTTTTCCATTTCTTTCATATTGTATAATAGAAAGATAACTAATAAAACATTATTGAGGATCCAAGGGGAGAAGGAGTGGGAGCAGAGGGGTGAGGATGGGTACAGGTGAAATCACAGAGGTCATTTTGTTTGTTTCTTTAGACAGTTTTTTATGTTTTAGCAGTTGGGGGAAAATTGCATATTTCCTAAGCAATCACTGTTTTTAATCCCTCAATTTACTAAAATATATTTCAGACTTAAAAAAAATTACTGTGTCTCTGAGCATCAAAAAATCAATAGGTTATACTCCATAATATTTTTCATAATTCATAAAGAATATTATTTAAGTTACGATATTCTTTAATGAGTAGATATGGATTACCCAGTATTTATCTATAAGCCAGCTCCACTAGGCCTTATAAGTCTTTCTTTTTAAATTCAAGGAGATACTTCCTACTAGACATCTTGTTATCTCAAGTTGGCAAGCAAAAAGTAATCATATATTTTCAGGTGTGTTTTTCTCTTTTTCTGTATATAGAGGTGATGTGGGGTATATACGGACTGTACCAGCAGAACAAGTTTTTGTCCTAAAAGCACATAAAAGAGAAGATTATATCGAACCCCAGGAAGAAAGACAGACCCTACAGGAAACACCCTTCATCCCTTCAGTTTGTTCTGTGGCCTCCATGTGCTCTATGGGCCCTGGGCTCCCCCTGCTGGCTGCTCACTGCTCTGCAAGGGAGTCCTTTCCTGAGCTCCGGCTCTGGCTGTGTGCCACTGGGGAGCCTCAGCTACAGCCCTGCTCTTGTTCTGTCACAATACCACAAGGGAAGGAGGAGTAGCGTCCACTTCCATAATAGCTTGCCTCCGGAAACCTTATGAACCTGGAGAGAGGATGAAAGGCACCCAAGCGTCAAGGACTCTCCTTCATAGGGTCGCTATGAGTCGCCTGCCACTCGACGACACTTAACAACAACAACTATAATGCTAACTTCTAAGAGGAATCAGTATGGTTGTTATATGTTTATGTAAGTGATTCCTGATAGCTGACTGTAAAGGTTGGTACACCAGTGTTGAGAATGTGACCAGGAATCTCAAAGAGCTAAAAAAATTAGAATGACTCAATTCCTTCTGTCAAATATTTAGTCATCAAAGATCACTCAGATTTATTAATCATCTAAAAGGACAAGGGTATTACTAGGTAGGGCAGAGGTTAGCCAGTGAGGACGAAAAGCCAGGTTTGCATGTAAGAATGCTCATGCACACATTGATCATTCAAGAGAAGATTCCAGGATGGAAGGAACCCAAATACCCAACAACAAACAAATGGATAAAAAAGCTATGGTGCATTCACAATGGGATGTTATACAGCACTGAAAAATAATGAACTTCTAAAACATTACACAACATGGGGGAGTGTGGAGGACATTACGCTCTGTGAAATACTCCAGCCACAAAAGTCCAAGTACTGTATAACACCACTATTATAAATAGGACAGATGAGGGTAGGACAAAGAGTCAATTGAAAATGAGCACTATAGTAGTAGGTGAGGGGAATAAATGTTCTAAAGGAAAATATGATTAAATATTAAATGTATGACAACATTCAAGAACAAGGGGTACATACATTGCTGGATGGGCCAGGCGAGGGAAAGTAAATGTGCAACAAAAGGGAAGGAAAATAAAAATGAAGGTACTAAAAGCTCATTTTGTCCTCCAGGTATGAGCATCAAATAGAGAGAAAGAGGAGGGAGGGAAGAAGGGAGAAAAGGAGAGAGAGAGAGAGAAAGAGAGAGAGAAAGAGAGAGAGAGGAAGAGAGAGAGAGAGAGAAAGAGAGAAATGAATTCCACTTGAATGGCCATGTATCAAATGTAAATACATTCCCTATTTCTCTGAAAAGAGCTCCATAGTCACATCACATTGCAAAACAGAAGCAGTTACAAACATTGTGATTGTTTTATTGGGTCTAGCACATTCACCATCCTAACCTGTAAGAAGCACCCTGGTTGCTATAGACAGACCTCAGCACCACAATGCAATCAAATTATTTTTTCTTCTGTTATCCTTATTCATTTTCCAACTGTCAGATGTACAGGAAGTAACTGGAAAGACCATGCTTTGGATCAGGTGCACCTTAGTCTTTACACTGCCATCCTTGTTATTTACAAGTTGGAGAGATCCTTGACAGCAAAAATTTCCCAAGGCAACACATAATTTTTATTTCTTCACTGCTGTTACCA